CAAGCTCTTAAGAGACAGACCTTTTTTTCTTATAGATAAAGGAGAAAGGAAGTAGCTTCAAAAGTTCTCCAATCTCTTCTTCAGCAAAAAGGACACGTCTGAAAATTTGTTTGTTTGTTTGTTTGTTTGTTTGTTTGTTTGTTTGTTTGTTTTTAACACAAACAAGGCCAGACTAGGATTACTAGGGCCCTCTAGGCGTAGTAGGGGGAGCCTGAGTGATATGAGCAACGGCCCACAGAGAGTAGGCCTATCGCTAGCCGCTCCGTCTATTGGTGGGCACTGAGCAGTGAGCAGCATCACCTGAAGCTGGAAAACAGGTCCAGCTTCTGTTGAATACAAGAATTATGATTGTTGGTGACAACCGTGACATGAATAGCAGTGTAGCACGAAGAAGAACAGGAGGATGAGTACATGTCAAGCTGAGTGGGAGGTGGGAGGGAAATAGGATCAGTCATGATTACTTACTGCAGTGGATTAATGAATGGGATGAATAATGAATAATTGGATAAGTCAGGACTCAGGAGGAGGAAGAGAGTCAGATTCATGACAATAACGCCCGTTCACTATTGAATCCTAGGCTCCTTCCCCAAAGTGAAAGCACCGTCATTATTGCCGGGATAACTGGTAGAAAGCGCCCACGCCAAAACCTTTTCGGTTTTGGGCACCCACCCAAAGTTCAGCCATTTGGTACTACCAGTCTGGTCTGGTCTGGCCCGGTCTTCTGTTTTGTTGTGTGGTGTGGTGTGGTGTGGTGTGGTATGGTGTGGTGTGGTATGGTCTTGTCTTGTCTGGTCTACAGTGGGATCTGCTTGTTTAGTCTTAAGAAGTTAAGAACAATGCTTATATTCTCACTACCTTCTTACCATGAAGAGAAGGTCCGTTCACTATGACTGTATTTGAGGCAGCTTTAAGTCTAGGCACAGAGACAATGACCATACAATCTAACTGGGAGAAGAGGGTAGTAAGATAGAGAATTGCCAAGTACGCTGTTGACCCCGTTTGAAGTCAGAGTTTTCCATTTTGTTTCTTTATTTCCGATTATTAATTGATTGAATTATTATATTATTTTTGCATTCTACGGGAGGAGAAGCTGCACCTGCGGGGAACTCGGTCCACGTTGAATTTCAGGTTGTGTTATTTAGCCATAGCAAAAGACTCTGACAAGCCACAAAGGCCCACATTACATAGGGTAACTAACACACACTCGGTAGCTTCACAGTACGATCTGATCTAAACAAAAAACGAAAAGTCCGTGCTCCTATGGCTCTAAACACTTGTTCTCCACAACAGGGGAGCAGCACCTGCTGGGAACACCACTTGGGGTCCAGCGTCCTGTGGCTTTTGCCATCTGACCCTCATTTTGTTGACACCATTTTGTTCCCCACCCTGTCGTGAACAAGATTGCTCTTCGATGCTTCTCCCCCCTCCCGTATTAAATTTTACTATCAGGCCCACAGACTACAACAGAAGTATAGAGATCATTGCCCCCATCTCAACAGTGCTCAGACAACCTAGAGGCTTCCTTCCTATACCATCAGCAGGACTATAGCTGCATACAAGACTCTAGATGCACACAGCTCAGCAGTGCTTAGACAAGCTAGTGTTTTTTTGCTACCAAAGACACAATATAGCATCTGCGGGACAGTAGGGGCACACATCTCAGCAGTGCCCGGACAATCTAGGCCCTCCTTAGCTATATACCATCTGCGTCTACAGGACTATACGTGCATACATGATCTTCGCAGTGCTCAGTCAAACTGTTGGTTTACTCAGCTTGATGTTGTCAATCACACTGTCGGGGACTATACCATCTGCAGGACTATAGTCTATAGGTGCATTATACATCTCCGGCGGGCTCAGACAATCCAGTCGCTCCTATACCATCAGCAGGCCTATAGTTGCACACCGGTACAGGGTTGTTTTCAAGCACATTGGCAAGAAGACTCTGAGCAAGCTCAAACTTACAACACAAAAAAAAAAAGAAAAGAAAAAACATCAGTACCTGGGCACCTGAGCCGTGGGTCTGACACCTCAAAAATTCCGGAGGCGGGAAAGGAAAACGTGACAGCCAAATTGAATCGAATTTATCAACGGCAGGCCCAGCGTTTGACGTTTAGGCCTCCGAGTCGTTTTCTTGTGGCGACAAGTTTCGGACTGCAAGGCTGGGGCCGTGTACTGGTGGTTTGAAGCAGCAGTACTTGGCCCAGGTATCTATGCCTAGCCTAGGAGCACCCTGTGGGCTCCACGTTTTGACGAACCGCCAGCGCCACGTTTGCTGTTCATTTTGGCTGCCGCCTCCTACCATTGTGGTCCTGTACCTTGAAGCCCTAAAGGTGCGGCGCGCTAACGGGGAAGCCCTGCAGCCCATGTATGGGCCCAGCAGTACTGGTGGTTTTAACCCACCAGTACTTGGCCCAGTTATCGATGCTGAGCCTGAATATGCCCTGTGTGGCTTTCGCACAGAAAAAGATTTCTTTTGGCTGCGGGCGTCAGCCTTTCAGGTCCGGTAACCCTAGCCTCCGAAACTTGTTTAAATTAATAATTCGCCAAATTCTGTTTTCCTAATCCAGGGACCAAGTCCCACTTGCAGCAGTTTAGTTCCTGTAGCCAGTACTGCACGACACTGTGTGACTTCGTGTGGCAATGTGCGGCTGGTTGACAAACGACGGGTTAAATCGCGAAAAATATCAGGATTTGAACGTGCTGAATGACAGTAATGATGAAAGGCCGGTCAGTCTGGTAACCAAGGGTATGGCAGCGGCATTGTTGGGAAAAACTTTGAGTTTCTGTGGAAATACAAGACGATGGACGGTCCCCATGTCTAGCCCGACTGGGGTCAGGCTACGGACGAGGACCGTTCCCTGCGAGTGAAAGAGCTCATTCCGACTATAACAGCCAATGGGAAACCGCTACATAGCAACATTCAATCCATTCTGTTCGAAGAAAAACATAACCGACCATGCGCTCTACGATCAATGTGAATCAGCGGTCAGGAAACGTGTCGCACAAAACACAGGGTCCCGAACTGAGGACTAAACCGCTGCAAGTGGGACTTGGTCCCAGGATGCATAGACTGCACTTCACAAAAAAAAAAAAAAAAACAAAGTTCACAACGCCGACAATGGTATGGTACGCCGGGCGACATTTCATAGCATAGCTGGGACCAGCGTTCCATCTCAGAAGTGTATTTGTGGGAAGCATCACTTGTTGGGAATTGGGTCCCATGGCAAAGGACGTGGGACACAGATGTCCTCGTCTTCACCCGAATAGAACACCTTGTCATTATCACTGAGTCTAGACTGAAAGTCGCCCCAAATACAGCTACAAGGACCCGTCTTTCAGTCGCAATACAGCTATAATGACCCTATGTTGTATTCAGGGGAAGAAGGTAGCATGTGATGCTCCCCATATTTAAGTACTATACCCAAGCTTGTTTGCAAAAAAAGGGTAAAAAGGAAAAAAGAAATTAAACTATAGATGTTTAATTTAAGGGGGAAGTACGTTTATGTCACATGGGAGTTCGTAATGGGCAGAAAAAACAGGCATAGGCGTCTGTGTCAGGGCCTGAGTTCGAAAAGGCGTTCGTAACTCAGGCCGGC